ATGTAAAAACTATTTTTTGCGTATAAATTGCACGATAAACACACTGCGTGCTATAGAGACGCATTTAGTGTGACCGGGTTGATATATCTATGGCAACCAAACTTCACTGGTGAGACAGAAACGTGCGATGAACGGACGGTCAGGATGACGTTTTGCCAGGGGAAAAACTGATCAGAAAATTTAACGAAAATGTAACAGAACGTTGTAGAAATGTAGTGGAGTAGAAAGTATAATAATTGCTGCAAAATGTAACGAAGTAAAAGTAAAAAGTATGCACTATTGATTCTACTTAAGTAAAGTACAGATACGTGAAAAATTTACTTAAGTAAAGTAACGAAGTATTTGTACTTCGTTACATTCCACCACTGAATGTGACACACTAGTTTCCTCTGATGCAAAACTTCCGACATCCAGATCCTCAGAACTGGATAATCTTAATTCAACATCATCATGTACCTCCACCCGGGCAGAAGTAACCGCCGCAGCGTGTGCTTCCAAAGCCGGGTGAGAGGCACTGGATCCCGCCGGAGAAAGCTGAGATAGGGCGGGGCCCATCTCAACGTCGCCGGTGAGATCCATCTGCGAACCCCAAGACAAGCGCCGCCGCTCTGCCTCAACAGAAGCGGGACCCGAGCCCTGGGGAGCTCGCAGCAAACCACTCTCCTCGAAGAGCGATCGCCGCGAGCGCAGAGTTCTCAGAGGAAAGCGCTCGCAATGCTCACAATCGACTCCCTCGAGAACCGACTGGGCATGCTGCACTCCCAAACAAGCCACACATAGCTCGTGTGAATCCCCGCCCGTGATGTATCGAGTACAGGGGGGAACACACTGCTTATACTGCTCGCTCATATTGTTTTTTTTATATAATATATATATAGTGATAAACTCCTGACAAAACAAACAAACACAATCGACAGATTCAGACACACACAGAGCTTGCTAAAGTACAAAAAGCTGGCGGCTTGTGTGCTCAGGGGTTATTTATAGCTTCCTGGTCGATGACGTCACTCGCCGTACGCTCATTCTATCCATTGACTGATTTCATTCATGCTTCAGACGCGTCACGCTGAGGGCGTTCCCACTGCGATTACACGCAGCAGTAGTCCCTAAAGGGGAACGCTGCCATTCAAATCCTAGTGTGCACCAAACAAGAGAACCGAGACCCCTGAAAAGGGTCTTGGTCCGCTTCCAAACTAACTCTGGTGCAGTTCAAATAAAATATGAACGCAACACGGACCAAAGACATCTAAATGAACCAAAAACAGGACGCGATGTCACAAGATGCGACCCTAAAAAGGACAGAATGCTCAAGCATACCCTGTTTTTCTCGTCAAAGGAGCTACATTGTCCATTACAGTTCGGTACAGGAATTCATGGCACTGTTTTGACTCCTTTGCACATTTTATAAGCTCTTTGTGAGGTCTCAGCTGGTAAAAGTACTATTTGTACTCACATACAACAAGCCCAGTGCATTGTTTTGGATGTTCGGTAAGTGCCGTTGCAAAATACACGTCATAAAAGCCCTTTTTTTGGTTTGTTAAAAATGACAGTGTGGGCGCTAACTGAACCAGGACTAAATGTTCATTTTCTTTTTTGGTCAGAACCAAAAGAACCAAGAGAACCGAACTACAAGTGTGAACACACACACCCTAAGTATGTTTCCGTGCCTCAAGTGGAACCAAACAGAATTGCAAAATGCCATTATTTGGACAAACATTTAGCCCTGGCCCAAACTTATGCCATTAATTGGTGTGTTTGGCTGGTTGGGATGCTCAAACAAACAGAAGAATGTTTTGAAAGTGCCACATATACTTTTTGCAGGACTCAACGTAGCCTTATAGTCTGCAAATTAATCTGGGATAAGATTACATAGTTCGGCGTTTACACAGTTCACAAATGACAATAAACAAACCAATATTTTTCTTAATGTCTGAGTATTTTTTCGCGTGATTTGTTGATGTTGTACACTTTGTACCAACCTAATATAATGACAAGCAATAAATCCTGTGTCCTCCATGTCAGTCTAAGATTTTGCCCTAAATAAGATCACTAGAAGTGACACTCTACACCAAATTTGTTGGTCACTTTTGTATTTCTGTAGCACTGGGTATCCCCACCAGCATTAAAATCGTATTGGTCCAGCATCCTACTGTTACTACACCCTTATGCGGGCAAGAGGCATGTCCATCCATCGATTGCCATTCCAAAGTAGAGTGCTATTTAATTTGTTTTAAACAGGATCTAAAAGACTTTGGAAACATTTGTGCTGTCTGTGTTATAAGCCTACATATTCTAATATGTAACTTATATGCAGAATTATCCATTGCTGAGCCTGAACAAGTGTTTTTTTTCTCGTATTCAGAGGATGAATGGATTAGCAGTATTTTCTCCCTGAACAAGCTCTCCACTTTTCACTTTTTATTCCTCCAATCCTTTCCCCCCTTGGGGATATCCTGTGTGTTTGTGTGTGTGTGTGTGTGTGTGTGTGTGTGTGTGTGTGTGTGTGTGTGCCATGCTGCATACGCCGCCTGTAATGTTCTGATTTCGTGCTCACTGACTCCTGTCTTATCGCCTTAGCCATTTCTGGAAGGAGTTGATCCTTATCGCCCCTTTCAATCCCGCCAGCGACGCTACAAACGCATGTTGAAATAAGATACAGGCACTGTACTCCGCAAACCATTTCCAACATATGTCTTGTGAGTCTTACTTTCCCAATATTTCTAGCTTGATTCCTGGATACAAGCTTTTAAACCCCTTTCATGTTTGAATATGTTGGTTTGTTAGTTAGAGGGAGGTTTTAGTTTGGATTTCCTTTTACTGTAAATGCACTGGTTTCCACCAGACCAGCAAGGAAATGTATCATATTTTGAAATAGTGACAACTCAGTTCTGTTTTGCTGAAAAAATCCATCTCTGCTCTAAAAACTAGTAAGCTGCACTGGTATCTATCTACAGTACAACATAGACAGCTACCTTTGAAGTCAGCATCCTAATCACAATGGAACCTCATACGTTTTCAAACACTCTATTTGGCAGCATCTCTGGGCATCAGACAAGTAGTCAAGATGCTAGCATGCTAGCATCTTGACTCTAATAGCAGCGCTCCAATACGCTTAAAAATGCATGCTGCCCACAAATATTGGTTAACATAGTCATTTTGGTTAATATTCGTTTGGTATCAAATGGCAAAGGGTAAGTAGATTTAAAATTTCAAAATTTCTCTCTAGTTTCTGCCAACTTTTACTTTAATTTTCCCCCAGTACTATTGCAATGCATTCTGGGATTGGCCTCTCATGCTGGCAGAGCTGCCTTAGATTTTGGCTGAACAAAAGTATCTTAGAAGATCCTACCTTTTGGCCTTCATGTCAGGAGTGGGTTCATGATGCCTTAAAATATTGCCTAGGTAGGCATCTCGCTAGGTTTTTGAGGGTTTGGCCATTTTTAATTCATGCTAAAGTCTTTTCAGTTCGCTCCCTTCCAAACTATGTGGGGGGCAGATACCCCCCCTCCCTCAAATCTCTGTGCCATCCTTGCTTGCTGTTCTTTAGGAAAGCATTGCCTATCAAACATCAAATCCAAATCCATTTACAATCAGCAGATTTGTTTTTGTTTTTTCGCCCCAATTTCCGTGCCATGGATGGAAAGATAATTGAGTTTTGCTGCTTCATGCATACATTGATGCCAGCAGAGCCTTTTAAAAGCTTGTCTGTGTGCAGAACTCTGACTATGACCTGTCCTGGACCACTAGCACTCTGTGATATTAGACTGTGCTTAGACAAATGCATACAGGCCCTGAGTGCTCCTAATGTCTCTCAGTGCTTCACACACCACACATACGCAGTCACACTCGCCCATGCTTAAAGAAAGAAACATGTGAGTGGGTAGAGGGCGCTAGGGACTGAAAGGGTAGAACCTAGAAAGAAAAACAGGGGTGGATATAAATGGAGAGAGTGATCTAATGTGACATGGAGAAAGAGGGGATTTAAAACAAAGACGATGATGAAAGCAGAGAGATCCACGGTCCCATTACAAAAGCAAAATAAAAGTCCCTACTGTCATCTACATCTCAAAAGGCTTGTAGAGACTTAACTCCAGGGCTAAAGGTAGGCCACTTAATTATGGGACAACCTCACAGCCCTTCATGGGAGAATTATCCCATTAAATTCTGGTACAATTTGTCATCTTTACACTGCAAGGAAGCTAAGATCTTAACTGGTGGTGGTTGAGGAGATTTCCCCCTTCCACATGTAAAGCGCTTTGAGTACCCAGAAAAGCGCTATATAAATGTAACGAATTATTATTATTATTATTAACTGGCATGACACCACACAAAGGTCCACTTAGTCTTTTAATGCATTTACAGTATCTACATTAACACGCAACCTAATAATTTGAAAGCTTTTTTGGCATATTTTTAGATATGCGACAATTTTGAGGTGTCATGCTGAGTTTCCTAACATCTGTAGTCAGCTGACTGTTGCTTTCTCTGAAAAGGACCATTGCGAGGGCTCAAAAGCTTCTCACTGTTATTGTAAAGTTGACTGCAAATTGACACTGGTTTGTGGTTGGGGCTACATCTCATAGGGGTCCATAAGATTTGTGGGATGCCGCTGAGTTAGCCTGTAACACTCCGTAGCTACCATAGGTCACAGAACAACACCACAGAAGAGCAGTAAATTTACCACACTGATAGCTGCATGACTGTGTCTGTCATGTCTGTGTGTGTCATGTTGGGTGTCGCAAAGTCACTGTGTGTCCCATCCTCCCCCTCTGGTTGTCTGGTAACTCTCGAGTCCATCCTGGAATGGACAGTAGGGGCTACAACCCCAAGACAATCGCTTCATCTCTTTCTCTTTGCCCCGAAGGGCACAGTTGATGAGAGAAAAGGGAGGGAGAGATTGGCATTGACCCATCCAGGCCACGCCCCCCCTGAGCTGGAGGACAAGGTCAAATGGTGCCTGGGCTGCAGGCTGACTCTTCGTTTTCTCCTCCTTTCCGCAGTGAAGAGCCACCCTCCCCTTCTCCCATTGCAACACCATCACCAGCCGCATCGCCATCACCCGAGGTGACCACCACCAGTGCCTCCCAGCCCGAGGTCCAGGTGGAACCTCAGGTTGCAGGGAGCACTGTGACATCTGTCGATGCAGGAGGGGGAGATGAGGATCGAGATGGAGATGGAGATGGAGATGGAGGTGAACCTCAAGAGAGAGAGAGTGCAGAAGTGGAGAAGGAAGAGGTGATGGCACAAGAGATAGAGCAGGAGGAAGAAAAACCTCAGGAGCAACTGCATCAACCAATACAGGAGGAGCTGAAAAAGGAGCCAGAGGAGCAGGAGAGGGAAGCAGCAAGTACGGGAGGCACTGGAAGGAGGCCAAGCTTACATCACACTGCTTCACCAATCAGAGTACAGAGGAATGGAGCATGCTGCCACTCCACCACCTCCGACTATGAACTCTCGCTCGACCTCAAAAACAAGCAGGTAGGGAGCAAGGCACTGTGGGATTGCGGTCTTGAGGACGTGTGAATGTATGCTTCAGGCTCTTGAGGATTGGTTGCTGTGCGTCCGATTGTTGCTTTTTAGTGGCTGAGTGTGTTGGAGTGTGTTGAAGCTGGTACAGGGTGCTGGGCCTTATTGTAGTTGGATGTTTACAGGTTGATCATCCATCCTCATCTCATATGCATCCATTACTATCTCCATCAGCTTTCTAACTTATCTCAAAGCCCTCATGGAATCTGCTCTGAATTATGTGGAAATTTGGTAAAATGTGTTTAACGGAACTAAAGAGGCCATTCACTCAAGATGTGTTCTTGCATTAAACGAAATTAAACAGAAGGTGCGTATTTAGCCACATTTACAACAATACACTCTTAAAATAATCCAATACATTAAAGGTTATTAAACCGATTAATTATTTAAACTTTTATTTTTACACAGCAATTTAGAAGCACGACACTCATGACCAAACACGTACCAGAAAAAAACAGATGAAATACAAGAACACATTCTTTGTAAATGGCTCAATACACTTCAAATTAGCTAACAATATTTAATAAGCGCAAGTGAGAGAATTCTGGGGCTTTCTGCAAGATTCACAGATTCCATGCAGGCCTACCTGTCATTCTTTTTTAATTGTTTGGGGACAGAGTAGATGAAACATCTCTAGTTCTGTTACAAAACCCAGTGAACTGCCTACCTAAACAGCATTTTAAGAAATCATAGGTGTGCACAATATGGAACAGCTGTACCACAAGGTAGGAAGCACGGTTATGCTTGTACTATGATAAACTCATTTGGCTGAATACCATCGCAATACGCTCAGTGAAAACTCTATTACAAGATGGTGGATGAGTTGAGTAAAATGCTGATTACAAATTGATTTCATCCAGTACTCAAACGTGTTTATATTAATAGTATGATCTAATTAAATATTCACTGTTTCCCCCAATTTTTATGTTGGCTCTGTATTTTTATGCTTATTAGAGCATCACATTGTTAGCTTAGCAACATGCTAATGTAACAATTTATTAGAATCAATTCCAATTGTGATTACGGAAACAATACTTTTTGAATAGTGCGTGACGTTGCTGCCTATGTAGAATGTTTCAAATTAGACACGTGTGAAGTCCCAGGATGGTTAAGACACAGCCTATGTAGACAGTAGACTGCATGGCAGATTGCTATGTTTTGGAACAGAGTTATACCTATACTGTGGCCTAATTAGAGCACAGAAATGTTTCTTTACGGTGGTTTAAAGACTGAACAGAAAAGGGGGCTATCAGAGTCTCTTGGGAATTGAACATGGGAGAGAAGTAGATTGAGATGACAGAGATAGAGAGGGCAAAAGCGACAGCAAGGGAGATGGATGGGAGAGGAAGGATGAGAAGGTTGTGTTGTCATGGTAACACAGAGGTGCCCTTAAAAAACCCATCCCTCATTTGTTGTCATTTTCTTGCTGAGTGTTCATATTGTGAATTGCATTCCCCATCCCCCATTGTTTTTCGATGAGAATTATCTAATAGAATTATGTTTGCATCACAAAATGCTTGACAGTTATTCATTCTGCTTTTACTACCAGTACAAAATCAAATCATATCTAAATAGAAATAGATTCTGAAAGGGTAATGTTATAGATCATTTAGCATACAAATAAAAGTGATTACATATAGCCAATACTGGGGCTAATTGTGACACTTTGAGTCACAAGAGCTATATCTCAGTATTGCTAAGGTTTTGCAAAGTATATTTTAATAAATATTTTCATTCATTCATTCATTCATTCATTCATTCATTCATTCATTCATTCATTCATTCATTCATTCATTCATTCATTCATTCATTCATTCATTCATTTAATCATTCATTCATTCATTCATTCATCTATTCATTCATTCATTCATTCATTCATTCTAAAATTCCAGTTTGAATTTGTCATGGTTCAAATCAAGAAATTTGTCAAAAGGTTTATTTTTATTTTATTTTTATTATTATTAATTGTTTACAACATAATTAGTAGGTAGGTAGGTAGGTAGGTGTTCATTCATTCATTCATTCATTCATTCATTCATTCATTCATTCATTCATTCATTCATTCATTCATTCATTCATTCATTCATTCATTCATTCATTCATTCTAAAATTCCAGGTTGAAATTGTCATGGTTCAAATCGAGAAATTTGTCAAAGGTGTTTTTGTTTGTTTGTTTTTGTACTATTAATTGTATGCAACATAAATGGTTGGTATGTAGGTAGTTATGCATTCATTCATTCATTCATTCATTCATTCATTCATTCATTCATTCATTCATTCATTCATTCATTCATTCATTCATTCATTCATTCATTCATTCATTCATTCATGTTGGCAGCCAAACCATGTTGGCTGCCCTTGACTTCTATTTTATAGACAAAACTAAACAGACTCAAATGATTATCCTTTATGTTCCACAGAAAGAAAGTCATTCAGGTTTGGAATGACATGAGTAAATGATGGCATTTTCGGTTGAACTAAAAACAATAACATTTGTAAAGAGTTAACGCCTAATTTATGCACGAGGCTCTCATTGAATTAACCTTTTACTTCAAATACAATTCATTAGAACTATAGTTCATAAAACATATTTAAAGAAAAAAAAAAAGCGTTGTCCTTAATTCATGGGACCTAGGCTTTAAAGCTGTTTTGTTAAATTATACTTTAATTGCCCTATTGTATTTTACCATAGTTCTTGCATAGATCCGTTTTATTTAACTGTTAGATCATGCTAGACACGTAAAACCAGGCTGCTCATTACAATGGGTGGCTAATACAAAAATCCGATTTATTTCCCGCAATATTTAACGCAAGTAATATTAGCAACATTGTTAATAAATACATTTCTGCACAAAATGGCAACAATTTAGGTTTAGGGTCCAGTTCTCACTTGTTTATTAGCATGCATATTGCTAAGATATTGGCTGTTTACTTATAAAGCACATATTAATGCCTTATTCTGCATGATCATATTCTACATCCCTCAATCCCACCAATACCTAAACTTAACAAATACCTTACTTACTATTAATAATTAGCAGTTTATTGAGTCAAAAGTCGTATAATAATTAGTAAATAGTGGGAATTGGACTGTAATCTAAAGTGTGACCACCAGAACACATTATTTCCTCACTGGTAGTAGCTGCAAGGTAAATTACTATAAAGGTGGTGGTGCTGTATTGACAAGCTTGTAGTTGTGGCTGCAGTGTAAGACACGGTGCTATGTACAGACGTGTGTGTGTGTGTGTGTGTGCTAGTATTTGTGCTTGAGAAGTTGAGTATATGCATTCACTTTTACGGTTCTTTGTGTGTCGGCATTATGCTATTGATCTTATGTCTGTAGAGGTGTGAAATCTCTCCTGAAGGCAGATAAGGGTGCAGAGTCTGACACTGCGGATTAGTACTACAGAATACTAGCATCTCTCTCTCTCTCTCTCTCTCTCTCTCTCTCTCTCTCTCTCTCTCTCTCTCTCTCTCTCTCTCTCTCTCTCTCTCTCTCTCTCTCTCTCTCTCTCTCTCTCTCTCTCTCTCTCTCTCTCTCTCTCTCTCTCTCTCTCTCTCTCTCTCTCTCTCACTCTGATACACACACACATGTACACAGATTTATCTGAAACACAAATGCACCTTTATCTTGCTTAGTGTAGGCAGTGGTTGCAGGAATGAAGAGTTGAGGCAGGATTTAAGCACAGCAGCAACTTTTAATAATAAAAAGCAAAACACTAAACAACTAACGAGAATGGACAAAGAACAACTGAAACTGAGGACTATATATACTTAGGATAACTGAGGAAGGAAACGAGAGATGGGGCTAATCGATCAAAGAATGAATAACTATGACAGCAAATGAAAACATACTTCAAAACCATGACGACCAAGAAAATAGACAGGAAAAACAGGAAACAATGAGAAACAAACTAAAAGTCCATTCGATCATGCATCCTTGTGTTCTCGTACGACGTCATCATCAACCGTCGAAGTTCAATTCCAATCCTCAAGAACTCAAGTACAGAGGACACATGAAAGTACCCGGATTTGTTCTTGATATCGAGAACGCATCGAATGCAGACTTGAGAGAATCTAACCATTAGAAATCCCAGAAGACGCTGCGGGCGGACGACGTACGGAAGCCTGTAAGCTATAAACTTTCCGTTTTTTTTACTTAAGAGATTCCCGCTGCAAGCTTGCAAATACGCGACGGCTCGTGGAAGTAAACATGAGTCGTTTTGATTCGCTTAAATTTAATAAAGTGATAAAGACCAGGAAAAAGCTTGCGTTATTTTAATCGGCATATTTAATCTTAACATTGACAAAGCATAAGTAACATTTACACTAGACATTCTACTAACTATGAGTAACTTTGCAACTACATGTCAGCTATCTCTCATTAATTTGCAAGCAAATGTCAACTAACTCTCAGAGGGTTATGGCTAGTAGAATAAGTTGACATACTTGCAAAGTTGCTTATAGTCAGTACAATGTCTGTTGGGGAGCATCCAAATAAAGTGTTAGAAGATATTAAGCAGACAGTCTACTAATATTCTAATGACTGGTACTTGACATGTAGTTGCAAAATTACTTATAGTTAGTAGAATGTCTAAAGTGGACTATCGAAATAAAATATCACCAGTGAATTTTAAGCTATATTTCGAAAATTGGAGTCAGAAAGCCACTGCTGTGCTTTGCTATTCACACTTCACCACCAATATGTCATCCGGGAGAAATTGCCTAACCAGCAGAATCAGATATTCTCAATCTTTTTGGCATTAGACTTGTATCAGAATGTCCTGTGCTTGCACATGCTCAAAGTGTTACTGTTATAGCTTTGTTCACACATAAAATGACCAAGTCCCAGCGCTGACAAATGATCAGAGCTGAGACTGCTGACATTTTGATGCATAGGCTTATACAGATATGCTGATAAAATTACAACAGTATATCTGTAAGTGCCCATTAGTTAGTGATTATATGCATTACCATTAAATATAAATGCATTTAATTTTTCTAATGTCATGTATTTATGAATACAGTCAGCTGGCTGTTGAACAAGTTTAGTTAGTATAGTGCTTTACTCCAGGTGTTCATTGACGCACATTAGTCAGCTTGCTAGAACTTCATTTCATGGCCAATGCCACTCAGGATTAGGACATTACTGACTGATCATGTTCACAACTCTTTCTAGAGAATTCCTGTCTTCTCTTAGAGTAATTGGTTTTCACAAGTGCTCCAGAGACTTCCACGAAGGCCAGGGCATCTGTCTTAGAGTAGAAATCAAACACTGTTTATCTTTTTTTTCTCTCTCAGCATTGCAGATAATCTTTAACATGCGATGCATTAGTTTGAACTTCCGCTTACTATAATCACTCAGAGAAACCCATGCTAATGAAAGATGGGTATTCATGAGAAATGGGTCCATATCTCAGCCTACCATTTTATAAATAGAACTAATCCGAATCCCCTCTGCAAAACTTTCTGACAGACTTTCCAAGCAGCGACACAGAGGAAAGTTTGATGTGTTTACGTGCACTCACGTCCCTGAACTGCTGATGTTTCAAAATAACGAATAAGGTGGATTAGCAAATTTGATGACATGGGTGCTGAGAACAGGGGAAATAGATATTATCATGTGTTCCCTCTCCTATCTTGATTACAGTGTTTTCTGATTTTTTTTTAAACCAGCCTGAGATTAATATTTTGAGAAGTGGGCACAGTAAAGCCCCTTTTGAATCATCTTTAGTCATTTTTGGTATGTGTGTAATTTTCACTTTTTTCCCCCTCAGATCCACCCACAAAACAGACTGATAGATGAAGTCTATTGTTAGATCAAAATTTCAGACTTTATTTAAAAAAAATAATAATAATAATAATACAAGTAATTGTGCAGTCTTTTAGAATATTTAGTGATATGAAATATAATTATATATTTCTCATTCTAGCAAATATTTCTATTTTTGTCACATTTTGAAATCTCTCCCAATGATTTTTAGATATAAACCCCCCAAATCTATAATTAATATAAGTATACATATAAATCATCACTAAAAGTATAAGTATATACCAAGTTATGTCATGAAACTCAAGATGGCGCAGGCTGATGGGTCCTTGATGCAACCTGATGACATTTACATTGCTTACTACTTGGCACAAGCTGATTGGTTCCTATCGCATCTGCAGCACGAGCTTGCTGCTCAACATTTATATAGCTGGTTAGCATTTGCAGGGAAAGTTCCTCTGAAACCCTCCACCTTCCCCAGCTCCACCTGTATAGATCTGCTACAGGTAATGTTATGCTATTTGTGCAACATATCAGTGTTTGTATTAGCAGTAGCAAGTCCCTGTACTTTATACTGCAGCAGCAGAAATAATCTACAACAACAGCAATAATGCTGGGACGTGGATGCTTTAAAAAAAAGATCTTGTAATTATGGCAATTCCAACAAGCTACGTGGGAACATCTATTAGGAATTCCAATGTGGTCACAGGTGTGTGCATCTATTGCTATTTTACAACGGCTTTCTATCCTTTAAGAACTATCCTGACTGACAAGGCTGAAATGCTCAGCTAAATGCTTTGAGCCATGATCCACTGTCAGCAAAGTCAGCTCCCTCAGAGGGTGTCTGAGTGCTGATAATCTGGCTTTAGTGACTCTAGACACGATCTCTCAGAGGCTGATGGTTCCATAGATAACTACTACAGCACCTCTTCTGTGTGATTGCCTCTTTATGCTAATGAATGTATGCCTAACTTCCCAATGAGACCTTTGATTATCCTGTCTTATGCTGATGGCCTCATAAATATACATGTATCCTTGAGACACAAATCAATGCAAATGAGAAACAATGTCAAGCACCAAAATATGAACAGATATGTGACAGAAAGCAGCTAAGATCAGTTGAGCCTTTTCTAGTGGGTGCCCTTTGATTTCAATATTACATTATCAACATCTTGCTTAGTGTATGCTAGATTAGCCGGCTAACTTGTCGGATTTCTAATTGGAAGCTATAATCAAAACAAACTGACAAAGTGTTTAATTTCACACATTTTTAGCATTGATGAATTACTGGTATATTTTAGGATTTCTAATTAGAAAACAAATGGAATACCCCAAAAAGTTATTTCAGCCAGGGGAATCACATAGGGGTCTAGTTGGGGTAGGATTTTAATGTTATCGTAGAATTTCTGTTTAACACCCACCTCTATCACCTTTCTTGTGTAGTTTATGTAGGCCTGTCTTGTTTGGATATGTATGATATGTCATTTTCTGCTGGGATAGTGAGAAAGTGAGCTTGGACAGAGTGCTGATCCAGCTGTCAAGTCTGATTTGCCTGGGCTGAGTTGATAGGGAGGAGTGTCATTGCTATACCTCCATCCTTTACGGCTGCAGTGGTTTCGGAATGATCTCTCTCACCGGCGCCGCTTAGTGAAGTGATCGGGAACGGACCTGACAGCTGGTTAATGGGTGGATTTGCAGCAGGACTGCATTCGTTACACGCTTTCTTGTCTCTTTGTCTTATGCTCTCACCCTCTTTCATGACCCTGCTCTGTTACGGACTTGTTTTTCCATGGTGTTCTTTCCACACCTTAGGGCTATGGCGATCAGTGTTTTTTTGTGATCCCAGCAATCGAATTTGTCTCTGTTTCCTCTCTCTCTCTCTTTGTCATCTCATTGCGTTTCAACTATTCTGTCATTTCTTTTCCTTTCCTTTCCAAGAGCTCTAAAAAATGAATAGCACTGATGGTCAGAGATATCTGCTCTGTGAAACAGTGGCACCAATCTTGATTTATACACCATCATATTTCAAAGCACATGGAGTGTATGAAAAAAAAAAAATACATTGGAAATGGTGGCATCCTTTTTGAAAACCCATCGTGTGTCCAAGGCCACGACTGCTATTTCATCCCTTGGTTTCAATAAAGGTGTAATGCTCGAATACAGCCTGATTTGTTGCAACAAGTCTTTCTTTTAAGGTTGAAATTTACTTATGAAGAGAGGGTCCATTGTTGTACATCTGCACCAATATAACGCTCTGTGTAAAAGGATGAATATTAAAGGCAGGTTATGAACTACCTAGGAGGGTCGAAGGCAGTAGAGTTCCCAGCTCATAGCTTTTTCTGAAAAGAAACTCAGGCCCTATTCAGAACTTAATATTCCCCAGACATATCTCTCCTTTCTAACCTAGTCTGAGACTAATGTAGATTGCTAAGATAAGATGGCTTTCTGGTGTTATTCAAACTTCTCTCAGGGAGTTTGAATCCGTAACATGTGACTGATTGCATCAGCTCACTCTGTCTTATCAGAACGTTTTGAAACGGCAGGACTTGAATGACCTCTAATCTGAGCTCACCCAGGAAAAAGACAAGACCACTGACAGCTGATGGAAACACAAAAGGAGACTAGCTGGTGAAATCCAGCTTCAGATATCAGTTAGAGTCTTGAATTTACTTTTAAACCATTCTAGAAAGAATCCAAAGATTGTTTGTACAAATGAGTACTCTTACCCTCAGCTTATAAAGTAATATTGGGACTACAAATGGAATCTTATCAAGTCAGAGTTGCTGTCTGGTTATACCGTAATGCCCTAATCTTGCGATGAAGAAATGTAAAATTTGAATCTAGTTTAGCAGCCAAATCCAAAGTTCCTAAACCAATTTCACTTTTCATGTTGTGGCTTTTATGGGTATATCACTCCCCTTCTGGAACATTTAAAGTGGAATCTGTGAAAGGCTGGAGCATGCAGCACAAATCTGTCAATCTTAATAAAAACAAAACAAAAAAGACAAATAAGAGCATTTAATTTCCTCGCAAAATAAAGTCATTTATCATCTTATTTTTAACTGAAATGTGCTTTAGATGCCACAGTCTATTAGACAATGATTAGAGGCAGAGAGAACCGAATGATTGGAGAAGATGACAGTGGCTAATATGCCCCTAATGGCAGGAATTGTGCGTAAATGGCACGTTGCATGCCGCACTCTGTCATTTCAGCTAAATAAGCCGTGTGATTGACTGGCCACTGCCTATGGTGTTTCACTGCCTATGGCCCGAGACAATGGGATTAGCTCCAGTATCCTCTTGACCCTACATAGGACAAGCAATTTGGAAAATAGATGGATAGATTGAAGGTGGCAGGCAAAGCCAAACTGTTCTGACCACATTGGTACTCAAAATCGAACAATTTTCGGCCAAACAGCTCCCAGGGTATGTCCTTTTTCAAGGGACACAAGCTGGGAAAATAATCTCAAGAATGTGTGTAGCTATATCAAAGTTTTGGCTGTGTAAATGTCTAGACAAAATTCTCATGTACTACACTACAAGTTCTTCTTGTCCTGCAAGGTCAAATCACAGTTTGACTGTCTTATCTACGCTTTCACTTCCACACATTTTTTTATCAAATGTTTATTCAAAATTAATGTTGGAGTGAGTGAAGCAGTTTTTAATGCCCAAACCATATAATGTAGTTATATGGTTTATAACCCAACTGGAGATGCACAGCTTCAAGACTTTTATTCATGGTGAGGTAATTGCTTTGGTTGTTGTATACAGTGTATTGGCATATATTGGCATATTTTAAGAGTTTTGCATGAATGACAAGTCGAAGACTGGAAAATTGGTTTGTCTCAGCATGTCATGATATTTAGTAATCTGTAGTCAGTCTTGTTATTGATTTAATTTCACGCTGTCATCTCTTACTGTGGGTATTTTTCTGTGATTGTCATAATGTTGCTTTATCTGACATCGTTTCTCATCTCTTTCTTTTCAGATCGAAATGTTAGAGCACAAATATGGGGGCCACCTCATCTCACGGCGCGCCGCTTGCAAGATTCAGACAGCCTTTCGCCAGTATCAGCTCAGCAAAAACTTTGAGAAGATCCGAAACTCCCTCCTTGAAAGTCGTTTGCCACGCCGTATCTCCCTGCGGAAAGTGCGGGTGCAAAATACAGAGGGTATCTCAGCTGAACGGGCGCTGGCTGAAGGCTGTAATTTAGCAAGTATCCCCCTTGTCCGGTCCCCATCCCTGCCCACCACAGTAGGTGGCTCCCTCACTGATCTTGAAGATTCTTTCAATGAGCAAGTCCAGTCTCTTGCCAAATCCATTGATGATGCACTTAGCAACTGGAGCATGAAGACCATGTGTTCACTCCAAGAAGGTGGCACCTACCAGTTTAGCTCAGAGGCATTTAGTACAGCTGGTGACAAATCTGGGTTGGCAGGGACAGTCAGAGAAGGTGGCCTCACAGACCCTGCCACATTCCATAGCGGAACAGGCCTAGTAGACAACTCTGAGAATATGGCCCGGAGTGCCAGCAAGCTGATGATGGCCTTCCGGGATGTAACAGTTCAAATTGATAGCCAGAACTTTCGCATGTCCTCTTCCGTTATGGAGTCCTCCACTTCTGTTTCTCTTGGTAATTGTGTCCAGCAGGGGGCCATAATTACTGAGAGTCCACAGCAACCTCTGTTTAATTATGCAAATGAACAACCTCAACAAGGACAGCCACCACCATCTCCCCAGGATCCAGCTCCTCCACCTCCAGAGTTGGATGTTGAGGACATACCAGATGGCGACTTCCCAGCCCCACCACCAAGTGAGGAGGAACTTGGGGAGGATCTACCACCTCTGGTGCTGGACAAACAGGAACTTCCAGAACCAGCAATTCCAGCACAGACAGCAATAACCTCTGAAACCTTGTCTCCACCAGAGGTTGCAGAGAAACCAGTCACCCCAATTGTAGAAGTTTTGGAAGCTAAACGTATTGAGTCAGATACAGCGGACAACAGCTCAGAGCAGATGAGTAGCAGCAGTACATCCACGTCGGCCCGGTCAACTTCAGAGGTCTCGTCCAAAGAAGCTTTACAGGCCATGATTCTTAGCTTGCCCAGATACCACTGCGAAAACCCAACCAGTTGCAAATCTCCTACCCTCTCCACTGACGTCATGCGAAAACGCCTATATCGTATTGGTCTCAACCTCTTCAACATGTGAGTACCATGAGAACCTTTTATCTACAATCATAAGGGCCCTTGACTCTTTATATCACATTTGCTTAAAGTGACTAATGCCAGAAATGTTAGGCTATAAAACCATTTTCTCTCTCCATGTATCAAGTTGTCCTCTCCTGTCATTAATATAGCTTCTTTTCAAAACTCACTACACCCCAGTCTTTCTTTCTCTCACTTCCCTGTCTCACTCCTGTCATCCAATTCTGTCTCCAGCTGTGGCTAACAACCCCTCCCTGATGCCTGTCACCTTGGGTTTGTCTGACCCTATTAATAGCACTGCTTTTATTCAAAGTGCTGTCTCACTCCCTTTTCCCTAATCTCATCTAACTCCATTGAAAACATGAAGACATTTTATAAGTTAGACTTTGTCTGATAATGTTATAGCACACTACAATAACTAAACTATGGGGTTTATTCGGGTTATAGTTTTTTTGTGTGCATAAGGAAGAGATATATAAGGAAAATGACGAGCAAATGTGTGGAAAAATATTTAGCGACCAAGCACGGTAGGTGTAGGCACATATTTTTTTAATAAGTTTTCTACCTCTGTTTTCACCATTTCTGGTCTTGCACTCTCTTCTAATGAGCTAATGAGTTGAATCAGGTGTGTCAGATGAGGGAGACAAACAAATTGTATTGTGGTTGGGGGTCCAACAAGTTTGGGAAACACTGCTTTATACAGTAGGTATCATTGTCATAATGTCCCAAGAATACCACCTAAATATTGACCACCAACTATTCAAAAGTTATAAAATGTAATTGCTGCTTGCAGCTATGTTTAATATTCTATTATTTTACTATTTATAGCAAAGATCTTTATAGCAGGGTAAGATCTCATCTCTATCCTGTTTCCTGCATTCCTTGCTGTTATACCTAATTATATATAGCAATTATCTCCATTCTGTATGTATTTTTCGATCCAAATAACTTCTGGCTAATTTCCTCAAGCTCATTTCACCGAAACCTAATTTTAACATGTTTTGTACAGATTTTTATTTTTTAACACAGGACCAGTTTGTTTTTTTATTCATACATAATGGATTTTATAAGGATTAGATAACATCAAGATTATGTCAGCTTACTAGCAAGGAACATAATTTCTAAAATTCATGCATGACAGCAATATGGCAATCTCCCTCAAGGCATTCAGATATTATTTTGCTGCAGTGCCAGAAATCAGATGCTATACAATAAGTGTCTGATTAGAAATTATAAAGAGTAAATTCAAGTAAAATGGTACAGTTTCTAAGATGAATGTGATATGTAAACACAATATATATATATATATATATATATATATATATATATATATATATATATATATATATATATATATATATATATATTGTGTGTGAATATTTTCACAACAATTCTTAAATAAATATAAATTAATTTAACATGTATTTAATTTGTGTATTTTTTGTATCAAATTGAGTTTTTAATTAGTTTATATAGCTGTTTACTATTGTTTTTATTGTTTTTCTTCATTATCTACTAATTTGAGTATTCAAAAGAGATGTCTCACTTTCTTTTTCTATTTAACTCTTGTATTAATTTCAGTAATATTAACATGCAGTGCAACTGTCTGGTCTTGTAACTGCCATATCTTCCACATACACCATTCCAACAAGGACATCTGTAATTCAAAGCTGGAGAAATGCAGTTCCACTTTACAAATCTTATTGGCTTTATTTCTGCAGTGTCACATCGCTGCCAATTAAAATTCTGCTCCCGCATGTGTATTCTCTATGTTCAGCCAGGAGTGACTGAGGCAGAGTTTGATAAGAGTGCTCTGTACGCAAAACATCACAGAGGAGCATGAATCTGAAAGGTTGAATCAGGACTGTACTGGACTATGTGCAGTGCTTAAAGTGGAAAAAATAAAGTGCCGGTACTCACCAAATGGGGTGGGGCTTTGTTGGTGGTGAGGGGGGGAGGGGATTATGGGGGGATTGGTTGTCTCCCTCTGTAGTTTTGGTTTGCACATTTTGGGGTTGAAGTTTTAACTGTTTAACAGGGTCCCAGGGCATATGCTCCCTCGTGAGGTCTATTTATTTGTTTGTTTTTTGCAAAATGGTCTTTTGCAAAATGTTCCAAACATGCAAATTGGTTGATAACACAACTGCAATAAAGTAGCCATATAGTTAACAATCACTTGTTTACAAAGTGCAATAGGAAGTCAAACTATATTGACTTAAAATTGTATTATACTGAACATGTTAATTTCCTGTCATCTCTTGGAATATCTGAAAGCAGATATTTCCTAATATCTGTCATTATTAGCGGAACACATTTTACACATGGGGAAAACCAATTGTTTAGTCAATAAGAAGGTCCATATTTTAAAGCTCTTTCTAACTTGTGCTCAGCCTTAAAAGTAACATAGGTCTTGTAATTGTTTAACTAGCGTTTGTTACAATAAGGATTTAATTACAAGTAAGATTATTGTTGGCTCCTCATCACTATGCTTAGGCCAATGTTAACTTTTTTCTTTCTTTTTTTATCTATAGCATTTTTTATGAAAAATAGCAACCTACGCATTCAGAAACTATAGCTACAACATGCCACAGTTGTAATATAAATCTTTAGTAAAAAATCTATTCTCTTAACAGATTATCTATTATAAATTCTACAACTAATCAAAATTTACCACAATAAATTCAATAGAAAAAGCTTTCTAATTTATGTTGGTCCATGATGATGTTTTCCCTTTTTTATCAGTCTTTTTAGGCTGTTTTAGATCATGTTTGACTTTCTCTGTATCGCTTTACTACATTCTCAATAAAATTCAAATGGGTTGCACATTTTATCATCAGCGTCATGATAGGAATAGCTCGCAGAAGTCTTATCATTCTCTTGGAGCGCGCTGGTGAACGCACCTTCGGTGAGTCGCACCCCACTCATGCAAAATTAAACAATTTGTCTTCAGTCACAGTCATATTGCGCAGATAATTGATCCGTTTAGTTCGTACAGCTTATAAAAGCCCAGAACGCGTGATGTGTACAATGAATTAATAGCCTGAAAAAGTGAGGGTACGCTTCTGATTAAAATATATAATTAAAATAGATGCATACCGGTCCACTTCAAGCACTGACTATGTGTCATAAATGTAAAACATTATGGTCAAAAACGTATTCTACTCAAATGCAGATGTGAATGCTGACATATTGTATGCTTGCGGTCCCTTTGCACATGGTATCAGCAAACCTTAGCACATAGTTACAGTATAAACATGTTGACAGTTTATAGGAATGTGATTCAGCAAGAGTATTCTCTCTCGACCCCTCAAGGTTGTGTAGTTTGTGTGGGACGTCGACTCAAGGACATGTGAGCCCGGAGTAGCATGAACATCCAAACTATAACACATACATCACTACTTGTTGCCAGAGAGTGCCTTTTACCAAAGCTCTGGAGGATGCAACCCCACTGGTAGAATGAGCCTTAAGTCCTAGAGGCGAAGCTTGTCCACGTGCCTCGAAGGCTAGGGCAATGGCATTCCTCACCCAATGTGACATTGTTTGCTTGGTGCCGCTGTCCCCTCCGGTTGCAGCCCCCATAGCAAATGAAAAGTTGTTCTGAATTATGCCACTGGCTAGTGCAGTGGACGTAAGTCTGGAGAGCACGAACTGGAAACAGTAAATGGAGTTTCTTCTGCTCTGGCATAGTGGACGGCGGAGGACAGAAGGCTTCAATAATGACTGGATGCACAGTAGAAAATGAAACTTTAGGAAGGTGGAAGCCAAAAAGCCAGTCACCAAACTTCACCAATCCAGGGGCAAAGTCTAAGCAGGATGGCTAGATTGGCAGAGCCTGCAAATTCCTAGTCTTTAGTGAAGTAATAGGCATGAGAAAAAACATCTTTAGAGTCAGAAGCTTGACAGGCGCTGACTCTAGTGGCTCAAAAGGGGTCTCGACCAGCCCCTCAAGGACTATGGCTAGGTCCTATGAAGGGACCTTCACTTTGATGGGAGGCCTCAGCCGCCTAGCTCCACAAAAGAAGCGGGCGATCAGATGGTGTTTGCCCATCGGAGCCCTGTCGATCAGAACGTGGCAAGCCGATATGGTGGCGACCAATACCCTGAGAGTAGCGGGAGATGTGCCTGTTGACAAATTTTCCTGCAGAAACTCCAGCACTGAAACAATCTGGCAGTGAAATGGGTCTACACGGCTCGCAGTGCACTACCTTTCAAAGACACAACATTTAAGGGCATAAAATGTTCTAGTGGATTGGGCCCTGGCACTCAGAATAGTCTGGTACTCAGAATACATCAACTGGAAGCCCAGCATCTCTTAGTTGGTCCCCTTCAGGGGCTAAACGTGAAGTTTCCAAAGCTCAGGCCCCTGAAATATTGTCCCCTGGGCCTGAGACAGAAGGTCCCTCCTGATTGGAATCGCCCAAGACGAGCCATTGAGGAAGAATATTAGATCTGAGAACCAAACTCTGGTCGGCCAACGAGGCGCTATCAATAAAAGGGAAGACCCTTGTTGACAGACCTTGGCCAGGACTCACGGGAGCAGTGCGATAGGTGGAAAGATAAAGACGCATTCTTAGCCATGTATGGGCCATGGCATCCAGACTCAGGGGGGCTGGGTGATTCAGAGAGAAGTAGAGGGGGCATTGTGCTGTTTCCTGTGAAGAAAAGAGGCCCACCTCTGGCTACCTCAGGGTGGAGTTCAACATTCAAATGTCCAGGAATGTAAATAGCCCTGAGGGATAGGAACTCGTCCTGAGCCCAAAGCAGAACCTGCTGCGCTAGCCTGTTCAGATGCCACGAACGCATGTAGGTGACCACTGTAGTATTGTCCACCCGCACTAGGCCATGGTAGCCCCTTAGCTGCTGGAGGAAGTACTTCAGGGCTAGAAATCCAGCCATCAATTTTAGGCAATTGATGTACCATTCGAGATCGAGACCTCTCTGGATCTCCTGGGCTGAATGGCCATCTAAGACCACACCCCAATCTGTACGGAAAGCGTCTG